GGACAACCTGCTGAATAATTATGCAATGTACTGTCTGAGGAACTCTAATGCTGAGCTATACACAGGATACAAAATATCTGGGTTGTCTTCTGAGGGATTCTACAAAATGTCCACCATGCAAGGAATTTGTGACCGTGGAAATTTCTGCCCAGGATAACTAGGATGTTTTGAATACTTCATAGCACAAACACAACATTGTATTTCACTTAATTAGTGTTCATATATAAACAACAGAAGTGGAAGAGGATCAAAGAAACATTCAGGATTTATAAACATGGTAATACCGTATTTGACCCATTAAGCACTCAAGGCACTTAACAAATTTCAGAAATGGAGAGGCAGTCACTAGGCCACTTTAACAAGATTAATTTCATCTAGGGAAATCCCCAAAAGTACTTTCATTTTCTAAATATAGACTCATTACATCACTTACCCACCATTCATTTACCTCATTTTCAATATTAAAAAGATGGCACTGATGGAAGCAACTAAATGTTTCTCATCAATTTTCAATCTTCTGGAATATTTTGATAGCAGACAATATTTTCACCCATTTTACTACTTGTTTGACATTCACTTAAACAAATTATTGGCTCATGAAACAATTTCAGACTGCAAGATGAATTAAGGAGTTTATACTGTTAATTAAGGAGTTTATACTGTTAATTAAGGAGTTTATACTGTTAATTAAGGAGTTTATACTGTTAATTTAAATCTTCATACTTATACATCATTTACCTTCTTTACAGTATAAATGTTCACGATGAAATAATGAAAGACGTCATTAAAAGAACTAAGAAATTTGACACCATTAACCTTGAAAGTTGGCCAAGGTCATTCATTTGAACAAACTTGGTAACCTTAATTTTTAATACCAGCATATTACAGGACCAAGATCATGTTCCTGGACTGGGCTTTTTAGCTCAGAGATGTTTCTAGAAGACCCATAAGGCCACAGTTAATGACCCTGAGCATATTACTTATTTAGAAGTTGCTTGTTTTGATATTTTTCAATACATTGACACACGTGACCTTGAAAGTGGGTCAAGGTTATTTATTTGGAAAAACTTGGTCGTTCTTCATCCATGTTTTTTACGAGCCAATATCATAACTTGGGCCCATCCCTTATAAAGAAGATTTTGTTTCAAGGAAAAAGTTATGCCGGAGATTGCGTGACTTGTCCTAAGAACAGATCGGCTAAAAATCAAACATATACAATACTTTATGTGTGACTGAATGGATTCTATTGTCCAGAAGATTATGAAGTCATTAAAGTTTCATTGTTTCTGATTCTATACAAGAGAAATTCGTTTTACCAGCTGGTAATGCTAACTTCTGCCAAATTTATAGTCGGATTTGTTTCCTGTTTTAGTAAAATCTTCACTGAATATGGATTTTATAAAAGTCACAATCAAATCAATGTCTAAAGTACGAGACTGATCTGTGCCACATGAAAATGCCATACATCCTGAGGCACCAACTGTGTTGCCTAAATTAGTATCTCTTAAGTTCCCAATATAAACATCCAGGTACGTCTGCAGGACATTACATACCCATCATTATCAAAATTTATTTCATGATGAGCCTAAAGCAGATTCCATCACCACACTTCCCAATGAATTTGTCATGATGTCTTGCATGCAGCATTGATAAAGATCAAATGCTCGGACCAATTCTAGAGCCTGAGCACATGCTTGGAAGTCGGAAGCTATAAAAAGTCCCCTGGAAGCTGCTGACTTTTAATGAGTCGAAAGCACTTCGATATATAAAGTAATAATATCTGGTTAGCTGTACAATATACAGACCCAAACCTCGCTAACTATACCTTTTAGCTTTGACGTTAAAGGCTGCTGACTCATAATGACTACATAGAGCTGGAGGTGCTATTTCTAACTTTTGATAACCGGTATCTTACAATGTGCTTCATACTTTTCTTTGCATAACAAATAATTTTTTCTCTAAATTAAATAATTATTAAACATTTAAAAAAGATATAACAAAAATTAAGTAATCCTGAATCTTACACATCCATCATAGCCCATAGGACAGAAAATGGTTCCAATAGTTGTCTTCATAAGGATGCAGCCTGTTACAGAATTTTTAACAGAAGCTAATACCCGATTTAACAGCTTGATAAACAGAAACATTCAAAATACAGAGTTATGCATCATTGTAAGGCTTGTTTATCCGGACTTGTTTGTATGTGTAAAACTTAACTATTTCATTGTCCACTGTATGATCTAGGTATTCACATAAAGTTTGGTTACAATTGAACTTACATACTTTTTGAGCATTAGATCGACACCAAACAGTGTAAAGAGAAATATAGACAACTATGCCAACACAGCTAGTACGGTAACACCACAGTCTTGTTTTCTGGACTTTTCATAAGCGGCAGATCAAAACGCACCAAATTTAAAGTGAAATATTGACAATGACACCATCAACACTGGTAATAAACTAACATTATAGCTTCGATTCATTTCTGTGCTTCTTCATCACTGGTGAGACAAAAATGAGTTTTTCATCACAGACGAGACAAAAATGAGTTCTTCATTACAGGCGCAACGAAAATGAGTTCTTCATCACAGGCGCGACAAAAATGAGTTAATCAAGAACATAGTACAAGATGACTTTTGTAAGTAACCACTGGATACAGTAGTCAAAAGACTACTGTAGTATGCTGTTCCTTGTTACAACTCTATCCACTTAATTGAATCACTGAGTGAACATCACAGAAATACACAGTACATATCTGATACAAACTTTGTTTAGAACTATCAGGCTCTTTGTACCTCATTAAATATTGAATAAGAAGCTATATGCCATAGTGTTTAAGTAATCCTCTCGACTAAACCTATAAAGCACCATGTACTTACGGCTGTCACTACAATTAAGTGGACAAAGACCTAAAGGGGATCCACATTGTACTTTGTATCTTTTCAAGAGTTCATTATTTTTTCATGAACTTATTTCAAACATCAACAAACAACTACTGTATATGTGGTAATAGTCACCCCCCGCCCACCCCAATAAACAGTTATTGTATATGAGGTAATAGTCACACCCCCCCCCCAATAAACAGTTACTGTATGTGTGGTAATAGTCACACACACCCCCCACCCCAATAAACAGTTATTGTATATGTAGTAATAGTCACCCCTCCCCAATAAACAGTTACTGTATGTGTGGTAATAGTCACCCCTCCCCAATAAACAGTTACTGTATGTATGGTAATAGTCACCCCTCCCCAATAAACAGTTACTGTATGTGTGGTAATAGTCACCCTTCCCAATAAACAGTTACTGTATGTGTGGTAATAGTCACCCCTCCCCAATAAACAGTTACTGTATGTATGGTAATAGTCACCCCTCCCCAATACACAGTTACTGTATGTGTGGTAATAGTCACCCCTCCCCAATAAACAGTTACTGTATGTGTGGTAATAGTCACCCTTCCCAATAAACAGTTACTGTATGTGTGGTAATAGTCACCCCTCCCCAATAAACAGTTACTGTATGTGTGGTAATAGTCACTCCCCCAATAAACAGTTATTGTGTGTGTGGTAATAGGCACCCCTCCCCAATAATCAGTTACTGTATGTGTTGTAATAGTCACCCCTCCCCAATAAACAGTTACTGTATGTGTTGTAATAGTGGTATGTGTGGTAATAGTCACCCCTCCCCAATAAACAGTTACTGTATGTGTGGTAATAGTCACTCCCCCAATAAACAGTTATTGTATGTGTGGTAATAGGCACCCCTCCCCAATAATCAGTTACTGTATGTGTTGTAATAGTCACCCCTCCCCAATAAACAGTTACTGTATGTGTTGTAATAGTCACCCTTCCCCAATACACAGTTACTGTATGTGTGGTAATAGTCACCCCTCCCCAATAAACAGTTACTGTATGTGTGGTAATAGTCACCCCTCCCCAATAAACAGTTACTGTATGTGTTGTAATAGTCACCCCTCCCCAATAAACAGTTACTGTATGTGTGGAAATAGTCACCCCTCCCCAATAAACAGTTACTGTATGAGTGGTAATAGTCACCCCTCCCCAATAAACAGTTACTGTATGTGTGGTAATAGTCACCCCTCCCCAATAAACAGTTACTGTATGTGTGGTAATAGTCACCCCTCCCCAATAAACAGTTACTGTATGTGTGGTAATAGTTACCCCTCCCCAATAAACAACTACTATATGTGTGGTAATAGTTCACATCTCCATACACATAAACAGACCATATCTATCAGATATTAGCAACTAAATTGCCCTTTTATAAGACTATCGAATATAAATTGCCTCATTTTATTTAAATAGTACATGTAACAGTAACCTTACGTGACCTTTGACCCAGTAACCTGATTTCACTGAAGACTCCATGGAAAATCAATGAAGCAAACAGAAGCAAATTAGGTGAACACAGAATAGGAGACTTAATGATGAACATATATGATCACTACATACACCTTCAATTCAAGTGAGACTGAATGTTTAATGAAAAGGTTGGCCAGGACAGACCAAATACTTCAAAATTAAATGGAGTCTTTGAGTTCTATGAGTTCAAGATAACAAGGTTCAACTGTATATCCAACAAAAAAGTGATTTTATCTATAAAATAGCTAAATCTTTGATAAGGTTAAAACTGAGAACTAATAACATTATTATAATAACCCACACAAAATTATTTCAAATAAGACAGTAACAACCAAAGATTATAGACATGGTTAAGTACTAGGTAAATTTGGAATTAATGTGAATATGTAGATGTAAAAGATATTACAGTCAACACTGTCTATGAAGGCCACTGAAGGGAGCAGAAAAATGGCCTTTAAAATGGGAGGTCTTTATATAGAGGTTAATTTTATTGGCCTTCAGGACAGGTTTGACTTAATTTTACACTATTCTGGTATTTGATATTTTTTATTTCACGTGGAAATATCTGTATGAACTTTCTTGATATTGAATTTCAATATAATGCATAACTTGTACTCACCAAAAGCATCCTCGTCAACTTCGCCCGAATAGTACTCGATGACTCTCCGGTACACTGCGTAACCAAGCTTGTTGTACATCTCCACAGCCACCTTGTTTGACACCCGCACAAAGAGGTCGACAAAGTAGCAGTGTTTCCTGTAACCAATGGTACTTCACATCAAACGCTCACTCCTCTAATTCACACACATTAGAAGTATTCCTGTCTTTCTCCAACAAGTAAAACTTTCTATAATCACTCCTTCAATTCACACACATTAGAAGTAATCCAGTCTTTCTCCAACAAGTAAAACTTTCTAACATCAACTTCTTTTTCAGACAATATCACCATTTTCTTGACAACAGACATTGTAATGAAAATGAGTTCATATTACATATTCTAACGCTATTATCCTTACTCAGATGGATTAGAATGACTTTGAAATATTAATATAATTGTTTTTATGGGGAGACATTCCATAGCTTTATTTTATTTCACAATAAAACTTGATTTTTAAGATTTTTGAATTTTTCTGCTGCTTAACATTAAACTTCAGTTTATTACTTTCTCCTAATTGACAAACCGGTGAAATGGGTGAAAAAAGCGTGGAGACTTTCAAATTAGACCGACCACAGCACATAAAATTTTATGTTTTGGAAAATATCAAATGTATGTATCATTAGAGTTTTTCATTTTTTTTTTTGTTGTATTTACATCAGAAACAGTCCTTGACATCATAACGCTGATTTGAAATAGAGGGCATTAGAGGTGGGCTTAATACAGGATAAATACTGTAATATGATAATGATGGTTATCTGAGTATATAATGTGGTGTAACCCAGGATGACGTACCAGCAAGCAACTCTTTTTACATCAGAAACGGAAGGGGAGATAACTCATAGAATGCTGGTCATATAATTTGTGTGTTAAAATTTTAATTTTTTTTTTTTTTTGAAAATACATTGCTGTCCTCTTTATATCAATCACATTTTAACATTTAGACAATGTAAATATAAACTTACTTTTCTGAGATTTCCTCAAGTATGTTCATAAGTTTGCCAGCAAGACCGAGCCGCCTGTACTCTGGAGCGATTGTCAGAGCAGTAACATGACCATGCCATAGCTCTCCTCCACCTTCTGCCTTTCCCATGACTGCAACAGTAATAATTCAAGTGAAAACATCTCTGAAGTCAAAACTTATCTTTATAAAAGCTCTATCTAGACTATTGATATATTGTTTTCTGTATATTTTGATTTGTAATTAATATAGAGAAAATTAACACAGATAATATGCCTGAAATTGTTCAATCGTAAAACCCCGATAAATCTGAGTTTTGTTTTGGTGGTAATGATGATTTTCAATTAACAATTAAAAGAACTAACAACAAGGCAACACTGATCTATAAAGACAGTGAAAAATTGATGTAGGTTTGTCTTTTGTGGTGAATGAATATGATTCTAGGGAAGATTTTTGGGACAATGCTATTTCCCATATTTTTGAAAGTAGCTACCTCGAAACATCCTAGTAACAGGACTCACCAAAAGTTTGAGAAAATGGCATATTGGACTTAATCCAACGTTGAAACACATACAGAAGATATAGAAACAAAACAAACTGCATTTCAGATAGTTATAAGCCAATCCATGATATTTTGTTTCTTAAGTATGTTCCTGGTACAGACATTAAACCTATATAAAATGTTGTTCTACAAACATTCATTTAATACATAAGATTAGACCATTGTTTTTGGCTTTCCAAAATAAGCTTCGTCACCTAAAATTAGTGTAGTTTCTCCATGAAATGATCTGACCTTGTAATTTACCACATAATTTGTTGTAAACCATAATTATATGATTACTAGGTTTAGAAATGGATTTTAGTGACATGTACATCAATATTGTGAAACAAGCAAATAAACTAATATCTTCATCGACTACATTAACGTTATGGCATTGCTAACTTTCGCTAAGTCCAGAAATCGGTAAGTGCTATTAAGACATCCCTGCATTCTACTAACACAGAAACGGTAATTACCGACACAAGAATAGTTTTATCTTCGGAAATGTACATTACATCACTCTAGCGCTGGTGTATTTCATTTCCTTGATTTCTCTAAGTCTACTACGATAAAAAATTTAATTGTATTTGAATCACATCCAACCCATAACTGCTGTTAATAGAGGATGATGCATCTGCTTTACCCATCAGTATTCTTAGTGCTCCGTCTGTTCATAGTAGTTACAGGTGTGTAGTGCCACAACCGCATCGCTTGATAATGAACAACTATTGATTGACAACATCCAAACAAGTTCTGTTCATCATCTTTCTTCCATAAAACTTCAGTAATTAAGATCTGGATGTTCTATTGCAAATATTAATTCTCGATCATAAGAAGCATATTGCCCCGATTTCAGAAATTTAGTGAATGTTATCAGACTCGACAGTGATTTTCTCATTTGTCTGTCTGTCTGGTATTGAATGTAAGCTATTATGCTTAACATCGGAATGTTAAATCAAAATGGAAGATGCATGATATAAGATACATCTGTCAATAATAGATTTGCGTTAAAAAAATAGTTATATCTCATAAAGATAAAATGCACATTATCTGCCAACAGTTAGCCAGACAACAAAACACAAGTGTGTTTTCAAAACTTTATTGGGTAATACCCAAGAAACATAATCATGAAAATGTAGGGATTGTGATGAATTTCACAGGTCAACATATGAAATTTTTAGCTAATATTCCCAGCTGACAAGCTGTTCTTAGTGATAATCACAATCTGACAGCACATCTTAAACGGTGAATGTCACTTTTTCAAACAGACATGATTTGGCTGATAGCTGTATTCATCATGTAGTCTATTTTCCGCTGGAATACCATACAATTACGTATTATCACTTTACATATCGTGTCATCTTATGCGTGGGGGAGCAGGATGATGGATTAGTTTCAGTGAGAAAAATGCAGAGACAGGCTGTTGATAATTTCATGAGGTGGTGAGGCATATCAAATTTTACCTTCAAAAATATCATTTTTCAAAATTTAAACAAACTGAAATGGACACTGTAGGTATCATTTCAATATTTTTTGAAAAACTAAAATACATTGTAGTTGTATTAATTTTAAGGAAGGTGATCAAAATCACAATGAAAGCATGCGATATCCTGGGAATAAAGAAAACAGTATATAAACATGTGATCTATCAGTTATGCTACTCTGGTACCAAATGTATACACTTATCTGATAATCCTTTAGGATACCTAAAACTCTCAGATCATCACTAGGGTAAAATATTATACAGGAAACAGGACATGTCTGTTTTCAATTTATCATAAAAGACCGAAAATTTGTCCCAAAAGACAGTTTCAAATAATTGTTTGATTTCATACAATAGAATATTTGACAAGATATCATACTAATAATATATTACAGAAATCTCGAAATCTCAAATCCATGGTCTGTTTATTTTCTATACTATGCTACCATATTTATATACAAAGCTTGGCATAACAATAGACGTTCATACAGTGTACCATTAAATAAGTACACTGTTTTTCTACTGAAGTTGGAGTACCAGCTCCCTGTATGACCTAGTCATATTAAAAAGACATACACATTGCAGGTATAGTAACATTAATGAACAGTAAATATTTCTTTCTTTTAATTAATACATTACAATAATCATACTTGCTTCATATATCTGTCTAACACACTAACATGATAACTGTTCAAGTGTTTGTCTCAAAATCAAATTTGATATTTACCTGATACAATTTAAATACACATTAACACTGAAAAAGAGATAACAAGGGAAACACAGATTGCTATTGCCAAACATAGGTCATCAAGTCAATTTTACAATGTTCAGTGTTCCTCATGTAATTTACAATTACAGCAATTTACATATAAAGTTGTCTCCCTTGAACAACATTAACTAACACTGTTTTCTAGTTAACGTGAGTTTATCTAACAATATATGAATCAATAAATGGTAGATATTTAAAAGGAATTATCTTTTTTTATCATTTATACACAAAGTTTTTAATATGTTACCTAAGTCATACTTATCGTTCAAAATATGAATATAATCAAGTGTTTTAAGTTTAGTGTTTAAAAGTATCATCCTGCAATCTTTTAATGTGTCAAAGAGCCTTATATATATTCTAAACCTGTCTCATATTCATCAACAACGAAGAAATTACTGTCTATATATTTGACATTTCTTACCGTTCAACAAATGACCTTTGACTTACAGTAGGAAAATCATGCACAAGATTTTAATTACAAGACATTGATGACGCAACTGTTGACTTTTCTACTGAAACTGCGACAGATGAGGGTGGGCTTATTAACTAATGAATCTACATAATGCAGACAACTTACTGGACACAGAACATGCTTTGTTCAACTATCTATAGGCTTCTTTAGAAGTAAATTGTAGGGTGAAGGTACTTGAATACAAATACCCAAGGTCACAAGAAACACTCTCGTGTTAAGATACTATCAATAAAAACAATATATATAATGTATGTTACATAATTATGATGGATTTCATTTTTTTGGATACCACACCCCAAACAAAATTGTGATGACAATGATAGTTTTATATTCAGAAGGAAAAGTTCAGTAAAAATGTTCTGATATCATTTCATGTGTAAAGATATTTAAACAAGTAATTATTATTCTATTTATCAAAACAAATTAGTCTGTCAGAAGATTAAAAAGTTAAAGTATTTAACTAGTGAAAATGATCTTTTAATTCAATTTTATTTCTACAGACGTAAATGGAATTGACCTTTCCCTGATCTCTGCCAGAGTGCATTATAGGCTAAACCAAGGGTACATTTACATATTAAACTGATTTATGTACAAAAATTTAACGGGCATAATGAAAATAGCCGTGACACTGCTCAAGTTTATAATGTTGACAAAATATATTTAGATCAGTCTTGGTTACGCCCATGCTTGAAATCTTAACCATCGCTGCACTTCTATTCATAAGGATTTACATCTACAATAAGGAGTAGCGCCTTTTCAAAATAGCACTGACAATCATTATATACACGTGTAGGAAAAAGTAATAATATCATTTACCTGCATCCAATGAGAAGTTATCTTTCAATTTTCTGCCTTTGAAGAATTCTGGCAAAGGCTCAGATGTTTTCCCATTACTTTTCTTGTAATAATTAGATTTGTAACTTGCATCTAAATACGAATTTGATCAAGGGCTGCTTAAGATGAATGCATATACTTTATTACATCAAACTTGTGCATATTCATATTAATTTAATGGTTCCTTCTGTTCTATAAGAACCTACAATAGTTCTGTTGGTTAGAAAATCGGCCTACTTGACCTCCGGTGAAGACCCGAGGTTCACAGTTCGATCCTCCCTACATGTGGTGGCTTGTGTTTCTGGAGAAACTGGAAACTGGACCAATCTATGCTGATGGTATTGAGTCCTTGAGCGATACACTTTACCCTGATTGTTCTGGATGGTCCTCCTGTATGTTGTTTAATGAGGTAGCCACCAGCTACTACAAGGAGACCCTGGCTAGTATTGACAGAGTTATATACCCAGTAATCAAACAAGCAATATTTCAATTGCATAGAACACATTGTTTTCTGTTTATGTCGTCCCAAATCTCATCTCCATTTCTGTTTACCATGTCCCCAATCTCATCTCCCTTTCTGTTTACCATGTCCCAAATCTCATCTCCCTTTCTGTTTACGATGTCCCAAATCTCATCTCCATTTCTGTTTACCATGTCCCCAATCTCATCTCCCTTTCTGTTTACGATGTCCCAAATCTCATCTCCCTTTCTGTTTACCATGTCCCAAATCTCATCTCCCTTTCTGTTTACGATGTCCCAAATCTCATCTCCATTTCTGTTTACCATGTCCCCAATCTCATCTCCCTTTCTGTTTACCATGTCCCCAATCTCATCTCCCTTTCTGTTTACGATGTCCCAAATTTCATCTCCCTTTCTGTTTACGATGTCCCCAATCTCATCTCCCTTTCTGTTTACGATGTCCCCAATCTCATCTCCCTTTCTGTTTACCATGTCCCAAATCTCATCTCCCTTTCTGTTTACCATGTCCCCAATCTCATCTCCCTTTCTGTTTACCATGTCCCCAATCTCATCTCC